TTTTTTAAAATTTCAATAACTTTTTAACGCTTTAGTGAATCGATTTGTAATTTTTACAGGAGTTTTAGAATTGACTGAGGGACGTTCTTCCAAATTTTTATTTGTCTCGTAGCATTTTGACATACCTCCCAAAACGTCCTTAAAGCAAATTGACTCGGTAAAAAACATATGAGTACAATAATTTGACCACCTACTGTAAGTAACAACTCTTTGTCATGTAAATTGCTATCTCCGCGAGCACAATTTACACGTGCCTACATAGTATATGTATAGATAGGTACATACAAATTGGCGATCAATTTGTTTTTGAACGCTCCTCGGAGAAAGTAGAATGTAAGTGCATATTTATGTATGTATCGCGAAATATTAAAATTAGGTATAGAAAAAATAATGTGATATTTGAATTCAACATCTTCAAATTGGTTAGAGTTGGATCTTATATATTTGAAAAATTGAAAGAAAAGCTAAGTTAACTTTGACGCCTCTGTGTGGAAAAATTAACCTTTAAAATAATACTCAGATAATATTTGAGTGGGTTTTATNCACGGAAAGGAATTATCTCTTTTACAGTGAGTGCCGGCATAATTAGTAAAATTTCATGTAGGTATATTAGATACCTATATACACCGCTTGTAATAATCAATTTGTTCATCATAAGATATTTACTTTCATTTTCAATTCAATTTACTTTCGTATTTGCTCTAAGAGAAATCTCAAGCACAAAATGAAAATTTACTATTACATACGTATAGACAGTAGGTGGACAAATTATTATGCTCATGTGTTCTTAAACCGTTTAGCAAATAATTGAGAATGACTAGTATGATTCAAAAGTGTTTTTATATCTTCCTTCTTTCTAAGAATAATATGTCTTCAGACTTTCCCGTGACTTAAATATTTGAGGTTAGGATGATAAAAGTACAAAAACACTCCCAAAACAATACTTTAAATTTCTATTATTAATAACTTAAATATAAACAAACAATAAAGCTTGTTACAAACCAAAACAGTTTTTGCAGTAAAAATATAATTACGACACTTCTATCTACCCTCGTGTTACAACCCCCAAACGCGGGAAAGAAATGGCCTCTTTATACAGTGCGGCCATTCTCAAATTATTAGTTTATAAATGGTATCAACTTATAAAATGTAAAAGAAAGTTCTTGGCATCAAAAAAGGTTAAAGCGAGTACTTCTTTTGAAAGTTTGTGTATTTTTTCAAATCTTTTTATAATGGAATTTTATCAAAAAAGTCAGTATCTATATGCTGTCAAAATTTCACTTGAATCTACTATGCGTTGATCATCAGTCAGTTGGTCCTTAGTCGGTCAGTGGGCCAGTCAATCAGAAATAACTTTGGTTGTTTCATTCCCATCAGCCACTAATGCTGGTGGGCGGGCAGTCCCTCCGGACTATGCCGGAAAACTCTTCAACCTTTTTTCAGAAATCGTGGAAATGGGTGGATGGTGGATTAAGGTGAGAATGATGAGACGGACGAAATGAAGACAGAAGAGAATTAAAGATTATCCGTGGAATATTACTGCCCCAAAATATGGCTAAGGGATCCAAGGAAACTACAAAAAAACTTGCACCAAGGCAGATGGACCCGAAATCGAACTGGCGTCCTCCCGAATGCTAAGCAACCTCTAGACCATGCCGTCCTGTAGGTTAATCAGAACAAGCACTTTTATTTATAGTGATTTTGGGAATATACAAAGTAATAAAAATATAGAACCATTGATAAGTTTGCAATCTTTCAGTGCTAATTAATGATTCTTACAATTCCTAATTAAAAAAAAAAAATTAATGTATATAGGAATATGTAGAAAAACATTTAGTTCAATGCAATTAAAAAATTTCTGCTAGAAACCAGTTAAAGTAATATTTATTAAGCATCAATAATATAATCATAACCTTGTGATTGACTATGTTACAATACTCATACATGAGTAAATCTTTTCCACGATCGTAGGTACTTACTCGATCGACTTTAAATTGTGAACGTCAGTTTAAACCAATATAATGTAGGTAATGAAATGTAATGTGCATGGTATGAATACTACAACAAAACAGGTATTTACGCCACATGAATGCAATTAAAACTGATCTGTTGTGCAGAGCAACACCTGAATGACCGTTTCCGTTGCAATAAACACCGATAACAGTTCATGCTCATACGCTTCCTCAGTTAAAGTTTACGGTCCATCTATTAAACAGCCTTTTGTTCAGACGTATGTAACGACTAGCACTGTGTATTAAAAAATAACGGATAATGGTACCTACAATACTCGACTAACAGAAAATTATCTTGAAAACGTCTGATTGTAAAACGAGAAATTTCTTTGGAAGGCTGTTTTTGTCATAATTGTGTACACCACTTTAGAATACACGATAACAATATAGTTCAGAAGCTGTAAAAAATTAATTCCACATATAAATTCGAAGTGCGTTTTTTTCTGACGTGATTTTTAATTAATAACACCTTATATGTAAAAGTATACCTAATCAGTTATTGAAATCATGGTGCTTTTAGATTGTTGAGAGTAAATTTTAGTAAGTAGGTGTTGGTATTATATCCGTGGTATCTCCAAGAATAACTTTCGATGTAAAAAGAATTTTATTTTGTNACGATTTTCCTGCTTTTCCATTTTTACGAAAACCACAGAGGCGTCTTGTTCAGCGTGCTGTCAAACCTACACTAGCAAGGAGATCGGGCTGAAACTATAGCTACAAGCTATCCAAGGATGGTACTATAGAATGTCACCTCAAGGTAGGCCTAGTGGCGTCATCTCTTGGTTAGGCCGGAAACTTATCAATCCACCCTCGTATGTATAGATAGGTACATACAAATTGGCGATCAATTTGTTTTTGAACGCTCCTCGGAGAAAGTAGAATGTAAGTGCATATTTATGTATGTATCTTTTCGTAAATATATATATATATATATATACACACATAAATAGGTATAATGATTTTACTTTCAGCATGCACGAGAGTAGTAGGCCAAAAAATGTTTTGATAGATTTCGAACTTTTTACTTTACTGTACGTTGTGAATGTTGATTTGCTTGTTCTACTTTCACTTGTACTTGACCTTACGTACGTATTTATTTAGGTACCTATACAATAGTGACGAGTGAGTCGAACATACATTGAATGGCACTTCTTTAATAATACCTTCAGTCAGTAATATAAATAATAAAATAATATAACTCCATTAAGTTCAATTTAAAATTTTTGAAAGGGTGCTACACTTTGTTCAAAAGATTTTAAGAATTTGGTTAGTTTAGGAGAGTTTTCAGAGAAACGGGAGATATCCTATATAAAATATTCCAAGCCATCACCAAATTATACATTATCGCTGGTACAACGTAAGAAAAAAAAATTCGACAAGCAGATTTATAAATGTTTGATCTTTACTTTTTCAATACGCGAACGTCGAAGTTTTATCCCTATTATAAACGGAGTGAATGAAAAATACCATCACATAAATGTGGACAAAGTAGAAATTATTTGCTTACATTGGCATTCAGGTAAATAAAAGAGAAATTGCCGGAACCTAAACCCTGACCGCCGACTAGGACTTATAAACACATCCAAATACGTTCCGATTGTAGATAAAATTTTGTGATTGTTTTAGTGTCAAAGTTGAAGTTGAGTCAATAACCTATTTCATTTGAAAGAAAATTGATTGAATTTCGGCCACAATCGAAACTATTAGACACCTTAAGTACAACTAAAATAAAACTACGTGAATATAGAGTTTTTGTTTTCATCCTATAACAGAACATAATACTTCATTTAGGGATTAGAAACCCGCGAAATCTTGAATAGGATTACTGCTATCCTCAGATATTACTATATATATCGTAATTTTAAGAGAAAACGTCGACTAATTAAACAGATGCCATTAATTAATTCCATTCTTGGAAGCAGCTAATTAAATTGATCTATTATTTCTTGAAGAGATAAATTGCTAGGAACGTGGAGCATCATTAATAATTAAACTCCAGAAAAGGATATTATTTTCTTCTAACTAATTACTCAGACATTATTTTACAACACAAAAATTGTAAGTGCTCAGTTAAACAATTTCGCTAATTGGTTTCTTTGTTGGAAACGAGTAGTTAATTAATTAAATTGTGAAACACTTCACTTTTGGTGAGATATATATTATACGAGTCTCACAATTTATATTTTAGAAATACTGTTTGCACTGGGACACTGCACCTACATTTCATAAGAATCAATCGAATAAAATGAGACGGTTGAAAACGTGCTTGCCTTGTCATTTGTACCTACATAAAATGGGCAAATTTGCAGGGTCGGCTTAATTTAGTTGGTGTATTTGTGCGAATAGTCATCTCTCTACATATATCGTTTAAGTTATTTTTTAGTTCTAACTAACACGACTACTACCTTAAGCCGATCCTGTAAATTTGCTATTATTCGAGTGATTCTTATGAAACGTAGGTGCAGCTGTGGAGGAGGCGTGTCTAGAGAGTAAAGACAGGATATCTTCCGTTTGTAAGAACGAGAAAAACGATATGCCTTTAGTGTGCATTATTTATTGGGGACTATGCCTTCTTATTTCGACTATACTATACTTTCATTAATTGCATTTTCATTAAATAAAAGCAAACTACCGACTCGTAATCTTTAGTTTTTGATTATTATGAGTGATAATTCAGAAACAACCAGCCAATAAGGGCAAAAATTTCCCAAAAATAGGTGTAGATATTCCTCTTTGTGATGTACGTGTGAGCCGTGCGGCAGATCGCTCCGCACTCTTTTCTAATACATGTAGAATGTCGTAGGTCTTTAATTTGATTTATGATACAGATAATAAAGTTTCTAATCGACTTAACAATAGTGTGCTTTAAGAACAACGTCGCCTTCATTAGTTGAAGAAGCTGTAAAGTTATAACTTCTGAAAAACAATAAATAAACTACTTAACTTTTTATATATACACTTAATAAATTTTAATTTCTTTTGTTACAGAATCTACAATCAACCAGCTAGCATTTTAGACGCGGAGCTCCAGCTTCTAGCTATTAGCGGGATTAATTGAAGCAGGCGGTGCATTAGCTCATAAACAATTACTTAATTAAAGTAGTGCCAGGACTCCATAAACATATTGGCTGCAGAAGACGTTAAATCTAATTTTAGTGCGGCGACATAGAAGCGGATCTTTGTCAGGATTGTTCGTGCAAGGCAAGTCTAATTGCTCATCTAGATCAATTAAAACTTACGTATACCTAAAATAGGCTCCTCATAGAATACCTCGTCTATACGTATATGAAATAATTAAAGGAAGTAGTTAAAGTCTCTTGCAAATTTAAGGGTTTATTTGGTTAACGTTAAGAAAGTTGCTGAAGGAATTACCTTTTTAATGTCCCCAAGTTAAGAGTCCGTCGTTATTTCAATCGTTTACGCGAGCGCGGCTGATTTATTCCTTTATTTTTACTAATTTTTGCGGATAATAAGGTTACAGTAGGAAAAGACAACACGACCGAAATGGGAAATCGTAGCTAATGCTATGAACACGGAGGAATTGAAAACTAAAAAGTACGATTTGTTAAAATAATTCAAAAATTTTACTGTAGGTACCGACCATTTGTCATATTATTTAATATATATATAGTCCATTCGCTTACAGAAAGGTACAGCATGAGCGATACGAACAAACGAATATCGGTCATATTCCAAAGACAGCGTATTCGAAATATAACCGGTTATTTACCGTAAGATGTTTCCGATCAAAGCTCAATCGTAAGCCTCTGGCGCCGTGAATAACTTCTATCAGTTACAACCATTAAGGCAGTCCTGACACAGCATCGTGTACCTTTCTCTAAGTGAACGAACTTTACCTACTGTTACAGCCATTACATAGAAAATATGTTCAACGGCTTTGTTTCTTTTCTAGATCACCAACCGTCTTCCCAAAACAACGAGCTGTTAATGAAAGTAACTAAATATTTATCTACAGTTCCTTTTTAATACTATTTTCATCTATTTATTTGACAAAAATTTCGATCGCAACGTCCGTCGAAAGAAAGGAACTAATATTTAAACGACATTTAGTGTTTTGTACTTAACTCAAAAGTATAGCATCTTTGGGAAAAAGGCTATGGTGTTTACGATAACGTTTAATTAAAAATGGGCACAGGAAGGAGCAAGTGTTAAAAGCTCAAAGCTCAATATATGGGAACTTACTTATTTATCATCATTAAACTACAGTCACAATAACAGAGACTACATTAAGAACATATACTGACAGAATTAACCGGATGGACTTTCTGACCATATTTGAATCACTATATTATCATCGACATGATCTCTTTGATGACAGTAACATTTAAAAACCTGGACTAAACGAAAGGTAACAGAATTAACTAAAAACTGACCTAATACTTACGCCTACAGTACAGGTTTACTTCATGACCAATAGAATAATATTTGGACAGACAATTACTTACTTACATCCTAACGGACCTAACGACAGGACTATATCATGACTGACAGAGAAGGACGACAAAAAGGATTTCTAAAGCCTATAATTTAGACATAACGTAACTGGAACAATATACTTAAAAGATGACACACATTCTATGATTCCGAAGATTTTCAAATTTTAAACAAGACTAGAGACTTTTACGACAAACAGATGAATATCAGACTTGTTTTTCCTGACATGGGATAATGACAGGCAAACTTCCTCTACACTGACGGTATAGGTATATGTATAGGTACCTACTTATTTAACAACAACCCAGAAATCGGCAATTGGCAAAAACTGACTGACAAGACATTTTTACTCAACTAGTTGAAATTCTGTTTTCCTTTCTTGTTCCTTTCCATTTTTCATAGTATCCATAGGTCACCTTAATTTTCCTGTCTTAATTCCACTGTTGTCCTACCTTTTACTATCTGTATTGTACTGACGAGACAGTAAAATGTTAAAGAAACAAATGAACGCTTATTTTTTTTTGACATACCTACGTGACATAACACGATGACATAAAATAACGTAACTAGACCAACAAAAAAGAACAGTTCGACTTACGGACGATTACGTGGAATAGAATTAATTGATTACGGTCCAATAAATTTACAATTTCAGATAAAATAACTTATTACTATTATATTCCACATAAAACATTGAAACTGCCGGGAAAATAATTTCATGATTCTCACTTTTATAAAAGAAATCAAATGTTGTTAGTTATTGTCATACCTCCCTCATATTTTGATAGGCCCTATTCAATTTTCGATATCAAATCATCAAAACATTAATCCCTTTTCGTAAATGATTATTTTAGACTTTGACTGCTAGACATGACGTGACATTGTTTGTATATTTAATAATTGTAAAGAATAGGCATCATGTGAGTAAGGTTACTAATTGACAGACGGCATGTTTTTTAGTTCGATAATTAGTTTGTTGCTCTCCTGTGTTACATACATGCCGTTTACTGCATAAAAATTCCCGTAACTTATTTCTTTTAGTATTCATGTTTGTTTTTGGATTTATTTAATAGAAAATAAAAAAAAATGACTATGTAGGTAGTAATGACAAGAAAACTAACTTTGTTTTGGACAAATTATGTTGAATCATACAATGACACAAACTGAGACACATTTCCGAAAACGTGGACATTCTATTTTTCACTATATCGACCTTTTTATTTCTACCAACTGTTTTCGACTTTTTTAATTGACTTTTATATGGACGGACTACAGAATTAACAAATATGAAATAAAGACTTTTGACCTAACTACCGAGACTAAGAACGTATAATTGATAGAAAAAGACGTACAACTAAATAACTAACCCAAGTTAAATGAGTCTATGACACGTTTCCAAATACTTTTATATAAACAATTTTTATTGTATACAGAAAACCAAAAAGGAAACATGTACAAAATATAAAACAAAAATCATCAATACAATTTAAAACTGTTTACCGTTACTGAATAGACAAAAGTGAGTACGTTACATACAAATCACTGATGGACTCCGACTTTTTTTAAACTAATATCTACTAAAGAAGACTTTGACGGACCTACGTATATTATTACCAAAATATTTAACGAGAAAACTAAAACAAAACAACAACAAACTAATAACTAAAGACTGTTCGACTTGACCGATTATGAATTAAGGAATGGACCGTGAAAAACTGTTTGACTGACATTAAAAACATTCTGACTTATTCAAAAATATTTATACATAGACTCCTAAAATTAAATACATACCTGAATTAACTATTAGCACATTTGTTAAATTATTTAAAAATGATTTTTCATTTCAATGATACATGTATAGAAAATTTTTATAGAAAAACACTCCAACTGGAGTATAAATGGCATAATGCTACACACAAAATAATTGATTATTAGTTTTGAATTTATAAAAATATCGTCAATATAAGTGTACTGCTAGGAGAATTAATAATTACTGTTTTTTTTTTGTAAATAAGTTTATAATATGTTATTGTTATTTATTGTCATTTTGTGAATAAAAACTTTCTTAAAAGTCACTTTTTTAATTTCATATGAAGTACATAGATCAGTGTTTTTCAGTGGTTCTTACGAACTCCTAGAAGTCCTTCAACTCGCTAAATGGCTATTTAGCAAATTAGAATTAAATAAAGGGTACTTAGGCAGCGCTGGGGTGTTTGCGAAAGATTTAATTATAAGCAATCAGACCAACTTTAATTATTACGAACCGAAAGATATTGCTGCTTCCTAAAATAGTAACCCGAAATATTCTTGTGTTCTTAATTTAAAGTTTAAATATATTTGTGACAGAATTACGATCAAAGCGTTTTGTAATGATCGTGGGTCTAACAAATTAAATTTTATTTCACTTCTATTACTGTCAATTTATCTCTTGATTCACCCTGCAATGGTCAATTTATTTCTTCTCTACTTCGGCGATCGTCTCTTCCTTTTTATACTCCCTTGCCTCCTTTCGGGAACGTTCTCCAGCCGTCCAGAGAAGTCTCGTTTTCTTTGAACGGTTTAATTGCTTTCCCGGAACGCAGGTACGACACACATTTACAAATACGGCGCACATGAAGAAAAGCACCCGCGGCTAGTCGGCGAATCGATAAGCCGCTCACACACACGTATGCCCGATCGCACACAATCATGCTCGTGGTCGCTACAGTTTCATCGACAAGTGTGGCTAACATCTTCAGTTCCCCCCCAGGGTTCTCACCTTGTCGCGGTAGGGGGGCTCAGTACTCATACACATGTTATGGCGAAGCTAAAGGACCCTCGGGCACCTGGAAGCAAAGTGATTGTGGGAAGCAGCCAGTGGACACGGGCGAAGGTCCGGAAGCAGCCGATGGACACGGGCGAAGGTCCGGAAGCACCCGTCTGGTGTGCCATAGAGCGCCGCGGAAGCCCCGAGGGGAAAGTACGCGGCAGTTGGCGGTCGAACGCGACGCAAGCCCAGCACAGACGAGGTAGGCTAACACGGGGTCGCCTCTCCCTCCGTAAAGCCTGCCGAGTCGAAAGAGAGGCTCTCTCGGTGCGGCCACCAACACCATTAGTGGCAATCGCATGGGAACCTCAACAGGCGCCGAAAAGTCAGAGGTCCTCTGGGTAGACGTCTTCCCTACCCCATGTCTGAGGCGAAGTAAGTGTCCTGGCAAGGGGTGTGCACCAGGCGGGGTCACAGAGTTGAGGGTAACCTGACCCATTAGGGGGGTTACGACGTGAAGCATAGTGAAATGCCGGTGGCATTATGTGGACCGGGTGTGCAGCCTGACCCTTTAGGGGGGCTGCACACTGTATGGCGAAAGCAGAGTAGATGCGAGAAGCGTAGTAGCTGGGGCTGAGTCAGGAAGGCTGAAGGATGTCCGGTGATAGCGAGAGTTCAGCAAAACGGATGTCACCCAGCGAGGGGTGCTCCGGAGTAGCTGAAGGTGACCGGAGAGTCTATACCGGTACTCGGGAGACGGGGAGCCCACAGGAGTCTAGCTTCGATTCCTGCCCCGCCAATTGGTGTTGGACTCGAGGTGGCAGATGGAACAAGCCCGCATGCTGGGTTAGGGGGCTGTTCATTGGATCGCCCGGTTTGTGTAGTCCCTACATTGAACGGTTAAGGGTTAGATAGGCCCGAACTTGCCTTGTTAACCCTCAGGCACCGCATCGGTGGCTTCCTGGGACCAATCCGTCTGACGGAGGGGAAACCCCAGGGAGTCCTTTTTCATACCATCATGGCTCAGTTGTGTTGGTTTGACGTGTGAATTTATCATCAGTGGTAAGGAGGCGCACGTTAAATCTCCATACGTTGTCGTAACATCTTCAGTTGCCGGACCTAACAGTTGATTTACAGCGTGACCTTTCAACCCGAATCATAATTCTACCGTGGATTCCGGCCATGAATGCCTATATTCTGATAAATACTATTTCCTGATTATTGTTTGCGTAAGTCTCTTTAGGCCTCCAAAGTTTCAAGTCCTAAGTTGTTTAATTCCTCCTAAATGTTTGATTATCCACAACTCTTAGGAAAGGAAGGATAGGTGATGGAGAAGGTAGGGATGACAGGAAGCCTAGGGCGGTGAAGGCGAAAAATAAAAATGTGAGAGAGAAACTAAACTAACTATGACTATTTTTGCCTGATGCTTTACAATAACGAGAAAAATGAGGAGCTACGTTCTAACTACAGTTATTTGGGTCACTATTCTAGGAATTGGACAAAAATAGCAACAATTTTTAAAATACTTTTTTATTAGGTAAATAAAGTAAGTATTTAGGTGCTGCACTAGGCTCATAAAGATAGCGCCGAGAAAAATAATATAAAAAATCATGTAAATCCAGGAAAGTGGGTAAAAACCAAAAAGGAAATCAATTTTTCGTTAACAACTAAACAAATGTACCCAATATACGTATAATTTTAAGACAAAACTTGTAACTGGTTGAATTGTCAAGCACCGATTGATATCTACGAAAAAAATTAACCGCCTCGTTATATTTTGAATGACTTCAACATTTTCTTTAACTCCTTTCACACTTGTTCGTTGTCGGTAATGCAGGAATAAGAATGTTATACGGGAAAGATCAAGGATCAAAGTAAATAAAAGATGCTCGTTATTTCTTCAAACANGGTGATAGCGAGAGTTCAGCAAAACGGATGTCACCCAGCGAGGGGTGCTCCGGAGTAGCTGAAGGTGACCGGAGAGTCTATACCGGTACTCGGGAGACGGGGAGCCCACAGGAGTCTAGCTTCGATTCCTGCCCCGCCAATTGGTGTTGGACTCGAGGTGGCAGATGGAACAAGCCCGCATGCTGGGTTAGGGGGCTGTTCATTGGATCGCCCGGTTTGTGTAGTCCCTACATTGAACGGTTAAGGGTTAGATAGGCCCGAACTTGCCTTGTTAACCCTCAGGCACCGCATCGGTGGCTTCCTGGGACCAATCCGTCTGACGGAGGGGAAACCCCAGGGAGTCCTTTTTCATACCATCATGGCTCAGTTGTGTTGGTTTGACGTGTGAATTTATCATCAGTGGTAAGGAGGCGCACGTTAAATCTCCATACGTTGTCGTAACATCTTCAGTTGCCGGACCTAACAGTTGATTTACAGCGTGACCTTTCAACCCGAATCATAATTCTACCGTGGATTCCGGCCATGAATGCCTATATTCTGATAAATACTATTTCCTGATTATTGTTTGCGTAAGTCTCTTTAGGCCTCCAAAGTTTCAAGTCCTAAGTTGTTTAATTCCTCCTAAATGTTTGATTATCCACAACTCTTAGGAAAGGAAGGATAGGTGATGGAGAAGGTAGGGATGACAGGAAGCCTAGGGCGGTGAAGGCGAAAAATAAAAATGTGAGAGAGAAACTAAACTAACTATGACTATTTTTGCCTGATGCTTTACAATAACGAGAAAAATGAGGAGCTACGTTCTAACTACAGTTATTTGGGTCACTATTCTAGGAATTGGACAAAAATAGCAACAATTTTTAAAATACTTTTTTATTAGGTAAATAAAGTAAGTATTTAGGTGCTGCACTAGGCTCATAAAGATAGCGCCGAGAAAAATAATATAAAAAATCATGTAAATCCAGGAAAGTGGGTAAAAACCAAAAAGGAAATCAATTTTTCGTTAACAACTAAACAAATGTACCCAATATACGTATAATTTTAAGACAAAACTTGTAACTGGTTGAATTGTCAAGCACCGATTGATATCTACGAAAAAAATTAACCGCCTCGTTATATTTTGAATGACTTCAACATTTTCTTTAACTCCTTTCACACTTGTTCGTTGTCGGTAATGCAGGAATAAGAATGTTATACGGGAAAGATCAAGGATCAAAGTAAATAAAAGATGCTCGTTATTTCTTCAAACATATATGTATTTTAAAAATCATCATCGCTACTATTATGGACGACAGGAACGCCGGTTTTCCTTCCTGAAGGAGGTGGCGGTCTCCTTTCAACAGGAGATAATTCAAAGGCGAGTGTGTCGTCGTCGCTAGCAGGCAATTCGGAATCGTCACCGTCGAGAAGAAGCTCGTCGGAATCTGTTTCCGAATCGATCATTCCCAAAATTTCATTTTTCTGTTCTTTGGATCGAACTAGAAGAATATTCGCAGTAATGGTAACAAAAATGATAAATTGTTAAAAATGTTAGCAGATATATTAAGGTCACCAAAACTGTAAAATACCAAATAGTCCAAAAAGTTTGAAGTAGTACTTCACTGAAACTATTTTCTTTACTATGTTCTTCATTAAAAAGAGCTTTCAAATATTGTCAACTGATGAATACGATTGTATTCAAACAAAAACAGCTGACTTAACACTCTTATTATCATTAATTATCAGGCGTAGTGCCTATTTAGTAAATATCCTGTCAGTTCTTACTAAAAGATCTTGCACTTTATATTACTCATTAATTATCTAGCGCCTTCCGGTAAATATATTTGCATTGCTACCACAATTTAACATACTTTGCTAAATTTTGTACTACGGTTTAATAAGTAATGCAGCGTTTAATTGGTTTAGTGGTCAAAACTTTGGCGTGTAAAGCCAAAGGTCCCGGGTTCGATTTCCGACAACAGCAACAAATTTTCCCTCATAGTAGGTAGGTTATATATAGTGGGTAAAAAATTGAAAATGAATTTTCACATTAATATTTAATTAAATATTGGATATGCTCTAATGTGTACTCAGTACTCAAACAAGTCTGTAGTACCTACTGCTAACTTTAACCACTACAAATTCATAAAAACAACAACTACTTACATCCTGTTCCGGCCCTTGGCCTTTCGTGTTTTATTTCTGGTTGTTGTTCCTCGTCTTCTTCTTCTTCAGGTTCTGGTTCTGTCAGTTCATCGTCGACATCCAGTAAATCGTTTGAATGTATTATGTCTAAAGGCATTTTCTCTGTCATTTTTTCAGTTGCTGCCAACTCCTGTCGTGCAGCTTTCACTCTTTCGGCATCAATTGTCAATTTTTCCAAATAATTCAAACAACGAATTCTAGATGAATATTGCACGAACAATTGTTCGAGCTCTGTTTCCAGAGCATTGAACTCTTCCAGGAATGCCGGTCTACAAAACCAATTCATATTTCACACCAAATTTAAGTCGGGTCTTTTCCTAATGATCACCTAAAATCAAATGTCTAGTGGGTAGCTCATTTTAATTACGTGGAATGTCATTGCAGCAATTTTCGCGTGGCATTAATAAATAATAAAATTAAAATTGGCATAAATCTCTAGTATCTACATTTAAGCATCATATTTTCTTTTCTTCAGGGATCACCGATCTCCGATAGACATTTGATTAATCACTTTTGGTGCAGTTGGAAACAAAAAAACAAAAGTTTGAGACCAATGCTTTGATATCGATGAAATATTCATTAGGAATTGAACAAACTAATCAATCAGATGGCGCACAAAACAAATGTCTTGGAAAATTATGTTCCAATTGTTTCATTGATTAACTAATTGCTTTGATATTGTTTTTTTTTGAAGTGAAACTTCTTTACGCACGATAGGGTAAGTTCGTTTCATGGGAGTTGCTATGTAACGAAATCATGCAACGCATTTGCCCCGCTGTCTGTCCCTATGTATGCTCAGATCTTTAAAACTACGCAACGGATTTTAATGCGGTTTTTTTTAATAGATAGAGTAATTCAAGAGGAAGGTTTATATGTATATTACATGCATAATATAGTAGAAAAACACTGATAATTTTAGAGGTTTGTAATGTGATGTCGTAAATAAACACATTTTTTGCGCTTACATTGCAAACGCTGGCTGAACCCTACGAGATAGATCAAAATAATATACTACAGTATTGTACACCTTAAAAAGGTCTACAAAAAAGTCCGGGATGGTATATGTCTATCTCTTAGGGATAACCCACAATAACCATTTTTTATCCTTTACTTTTTACGAGAAATAATGGCTTATTTACGAAGCGATTTTAAGCAATACAGCATTAATCCTTATCCAATTAAGTACTTTTAAATACATTGTGCATTTAATATAGATCAATATGGCCCTTTACAGCATGTAATTTAAAGGAATATTTTCGAAGATATTACAGACTTAAAATGCAGGGACATAGCGGTTGCGGCGGTACCGGCCGGTTTGTATTGTCTAATGACAAAAAGCTATGATTGTTGTATATATAGACATTCTATAGTACATTTACTATCAGCATTGCACCCGTGCGAAGCATAGTGTACAAACAATACCATTAAACCAATTCCTTAACCCCTATCCCGGTATGTTTGTGTGTTTGAAGAAGTTTCACTTCAGTAGCGTGTTGTATAATTACACGTTGTATTTTTTTTTTTTCGATTCCTTTCAATGTTGCTTATTCGGATTATCTATTTAACTATTAGAAAAAATGTGTATTTTTTTTCAAGTACCTAAATACGTTCGGCTGTTAATAAAAAAGACAAATACTTCTGACTGACCTAACTTTGTTGAGAGTTTGTAATCGCTTTTCGTAACGATCAATTTCTACTTTTCTGCGTTCGATTTTCGAATCTAGGTTGGCTTCGGTTGTGGAGATGTTATTAATTTGCCGTTGGGTTTCGTCGATTTCTGCTGAAACGGCTTCGATTGCTTTTGTTATGCTGTTTTCCACCTCGCTAGGTTCGTACTGGCGATTCATACTAATTTGACGTGCTATCTGTAAACACTCGAATCTTTCAATTTGTCAGTTATAAAGACTTGCGATTATGGAAACCGTTTTCTGTCGTTGCGAGTATCGCGTTGTCACCCTATCCAGAAGCAAAAGCCCGTTAATAGGGCGGTCGGTGTCAATTTCACTTCTGTTTTCGGAAAATACACAAAGGAAATAACATTCTAAATTTCCCTTCTAAAGTAGATTCATAAAATATAGCGAAATAAAGTAATCTGAACTTACAAATTGGATGACAATATCAATTTGTAATTTAGGATGTAAAAAGGGCAGAAATGTAGGACAAAGAATAACGCAGGACCAGACCGTTTTCAAAAGACTAGTGAAAGTGTATGCTTTGAGCATGGCTCCAGACGGATGCGAAAACAGAAAGAAAGTTTTTGAAATTTTTGAATTGAGGCATGAAGGGGTAATTAAAAACATATTGAATGATGATTTAGAATAGATCACTGTTCGCAAAATAAGAGATGAGGAATTTCTGGTATTCGGGATATGCGAAAATTGACTCAGGATTGGAAGGAGTGGAAACGTATTCAACCTAGAGGCGGTTCAACGAGACAATGGACTGAAGACCTTGTAGTGCTGAAGTTGAAGTTCCCGAATATGACTGAATCATGGATTAGGGAGTAATATGTAGGGATAGAGCTCTTAGAAGTTAATTTACGAATGAAAGATTTTAAGGAGTTTATGAAATTTATAATCAAAAATATCCAGAAGTAACAATAGACATTTCGTATCATTAAGGAATCGTCATGAATACATATTTTTCTGAGAAAAGTGGATCAGCGATTGGGATTTAATAAGGGATTGTATTCTAATATAGAACATTAACTATTTATCCCTGTTATCAAACCGTTTTTATTCTTTGTATTTATAGTGAAATTATGTTTTTATTTAAAGATCTGTTAGTACCCGTACTAGTTGAAATAAATCATATCCTCACCCTTAAATCACTTTCCTTTCCAAGAAGATCGAAAAGATTTGCAGCACTAGCAGTTATTTCACTTGCTAGTTGTCTCGCTTGTTTCACTTCATGAGCCTAAAATGGAATCTCATGTAAAACACTAAACAGCCTAAGTCATACATTGTTCATAAGGGGATCTTTTTTAATACATTTAAGAAAATAGTTTTTCAATTTTTAAGTAAAAAGTCAGTCTTTCTAGAGGTATCTCATGAACCAGACAAGACTTGATATGCAATCATAAAATTTTCGAAACATCATATTAGCATATAACGGAAATATGCAGTTTAACATGTACTTATATCTCCAAAAAATAAACCTTTGCTTGTGTCAAAGTGAATACTGAAAATTTTTATTTTGTTTTTCCTACCGTGAGGCGTACCCAGCCTCTAAACAAGTTTAGGTAATATATCATTTTAGGGGTAAAAAATGAAGGATATTCAATATCAATAAAGAAACTGAACATACTCTGTCGGAAATGTCAAAGTCCTTGAACGATATCGAACTTCGTTCTGTGCCGCCATCCTTCCCGTCTAAAGTGGTTACTTGTAATGCCTCGTACAAAAGGCTCGCCACCTTCAATAATTCTTTGACGGCATAGCCATCAGCTTGGTAAAGTCTCTTCGTGTTTAACTTAATGTTCGCCTTTGTAACCTTCACAACAATGCATCGTTTGTTATGTACAGAATGAAATAAGTGGAATCGATTACTAACTTGACGGAAAAACGAGTAATTAAGTAGGAAGAGTCGAAAAACAAAGTCAGTAGAATAGAAAAAAGACACAAGGACCCTTTAAATGCTAATCGAATGCTAATTAAGTGTTCTAATGAGAAATTAAATGCTTCGGGCATTTTTTTTAAATTACTGTTCTATTAGCTTAAAGTTAATTGAATAGAACATCAGCGAAAAAGTAATTATACAATGAAACTATCCTTCTTGGTCATACAGTAATTAAATCCTCATTAAATGCTTTTAAAATCAGCTGCAAATTAAATGGTACTATTAATTTTACAGTTAATAAACAAGTTCGCGACTTGGACAACACGTTAGCAAAAATGGGAACAAGAATAGACTTAAACACGAAAAACCACTGCATTGGTAATATAGTCATTAAATGCTCATTAAAGACTAATTAAATGCCCTTATGATAAATTAAATGCTTTGGGCATTTTTTGAAAAGCCACGGTTCTGTTAGCTTACGATTAAGTGAACAGAACATGAACGAAAAATTGTTTATTGAATCGAATTAGACTTCTTGGTCAGACAGTGGATTAAATGCATATTAGATCCTTTCAAGGCGTTTAGTTACAAATTAAATGCTCTTATTAATTTTACAGTTAATAAACGAGTTCGCGACTTGGACAACACGTTGGCAAAATGGGAGTAAAAACAGGCTCAAACACGAAAAACCAAAACTTTGGTCATGTACTCATTAAAGGCTCATTAAATACTAATTAAGTGCTCTAATGAAAAATTAAACGTTTTAGGAGTTTTTCTCAAAAGCTACTGTTCTGCTAGCTTATGATTAAGTGAACAGAACATGAGCTTAAAAGTGTTTATAGAATGAAACTAGGTCACATAGTAATTAAATGTTTATTAAATGCTTTGCAAACAGGTCAGGTAAGAATTAAATGCAATTATTATTTTTCAAGTAAAAGAGGTTCAAACACTAATCCACTGCTTTGGTCCTATATTGTTTCAAGGCTCATTAAAAACTAATCATTAAGTGGCCTAATAATAAATTAAACTTCCTAACCGTTTTTTGAAAAATATTATAGTTATGATATCTATCAACGTTTTGTATAAATCGCGAAGTCGTTTATTTATTTCAAAAGCATTTCATTCACTACTGCCCTGTTCCGAAAGCATTTATTGAGCATTTACATACAATTTTCATTTTTTAAACAGTTTTTCGCTCATGTTGTGTCCAAATAATCTTAAGCTGGCACTGGCAGAGCAGTATTTCTCCAACATTTGACTTTCATTCAGTCTAATGTCTCCGACAATGATTTTAAAAGTTTGAATGAGTTAAGCCTCAGTAGGTACTCATCTCTTACCATAAAGTTTGCCACATTTTTTATTAGTGTTACCCTTCCTTCTTCGTTTTCAATATCAAAAGGCAATTCAATTTCCGGATCGAATCTTTTAGCCAACCAAACAGCAAGGTCAGCAACTTGCGGAAAATTGGGATGACGAAAACTCTCCATTGATAAAACGTTGGGATACCCCAAAGCCCTTAGCATCTCGTAAAAGTCTAAAATTATAGTACGTTACGTGTTTTGATTGCTACTGCATCTACCAGTATCTTCATTCGCACACATTTTTAAATGAAATCCGTTAGATACCCCAACAATAAACTATAACTACAAAAAAGTGAACTTACTTCTAATATCTCGATAAGACATTATTTATTTCAATGACTATTTGTGTGTATTATTTGTCGAACTCAGTTGAATTAATAAATTAGTTAATATTGTCATCATTTGTTGTCATTCTTATAGCTTAGCAACCCCTTCTTAATGATAAGGTAAAATGGGTGGAATAAAGTTCATCCAAGTGGACCTCTGCGTATGCAACTTTCATTGCACGCGGCGTTATTGGAAGTATAATTTTAATACAGGACCCATAAGGATACCTTCCAGCTTAGTTTTTAAGGTATTTGGACCCGACACAATATCAAAAGAATGGAACATTGTAATGGAAACAATTAAAAAGTCAACATCCAATTTTTGTTTCAGAACTTAATCTTCATCTTTATTTGAAAAGAAGATCATGAGTTCCATTACCGTTTTAATAATATAAAATCACTAACGTATTTTTAAAATAAAACAGCTCTTATTGTATAAGTTTGAAGGTAAAGGATTGATGAGGATGTCGTTTATGATTTTATAAAGAAATAGTCGGAAAGAACCCACAATTTTTAGTATGCTTCCGTTTGTAATTCTTCAAACACATAAAAATAACAATTGTAACTTGAATGTTGTTTATCCCTATTTATTACCTAAAATTTCTCATAAACTGTCGCCAGATATCCTTGGCTTAAGATGACTCTGCTACCAAATTTTTCAGTTTCATGTTTCAATTGGCTTAACATCCCACGCGTCAAAAATCTTAACTAGAATTGTACAGAGGAGGATGGAAAAAAGGGCGGAAGAACTATTAGCGGAAGATCAATTTGGGTTTAGAAGAAATAGAGGAACCCGGGAGGCCATTCTAGCATTAAGGGTAGCAATAGAGAAAACGATAAAAAAAGGAAAGAGTGCGTACATAGGATTTGTATATTTAGAAAAAGCTTTTGACAATGTTGAATGGGACAAGATGTTAAATATACTTAAAAATGTAGGGATGAGTTGCAGAGATAGAAGAGTGATACTTAGTTTGTATAAAGACCAACAGGCAGTTATAGTGCTGGAGCTGCAACGTAGAGAAGTAAATATTAGGAAGGTAGTTAGACAGGGATGCACACTGTCACCGCTACTTTTTAATGTAACAGGTCAATTGAAAAGTCCCCGGCCTAAAATAGTAAAACACATTTTTTTTGCAAAATTCGTTTTTTTTATTCAACATAATTCCCTTCAAGGGTGATACACTGATTATAGCAATCCTCCAACTTTTCGATACTATTCTTGTAGTACGATTTGTCCTTTGCTTCAAAATAGGCCTCAGTTTCGCCGATCACCTCTTCATTCGACGAAAATTTTTTCCCAACGAGCATTCTTTTGAGATCTGAGAACAGGAAGTAGTCGCTGGGGGCCAGATCTGGAGAATACGGTGGATGCGGAAGCAATTCGAAGCCCAATTCATGAATTTTTGCCATCGTTTTCACTGACTTGTGAAACGGTGCATTGTCTTGGTGAAGCAGGACTTTCTTTTTCTGCAAATGCGGTCGTTTCTCGGCGATTTCGTCCTTCAAACGGTCCAATAACGCTATGTAATAGTCGCTGTTGATGGTCCTTCCTTTTTCAAGGTAGTCAATGAAAATTATTCCACGCGCATCCCAAAATACAGACGCCATAACCTTGCCAGCCGACTGTTGCGTTTTTGCACGCTTTGGAGCGGGTTCATCGGGTGCAGTCCACTCCGATGACTGTCGATTGGACTTCGGAGTGAAATGATGGAGCCATGTTTCATCCATTGTCACATATCGACGGAAAAACTCGGGTTTATTACGCGTGATCTTATTCAAACACTGCTCTGAATCATCAACTCGTCGTTGTTTTTGGTCAAAAGAGAGCTCGCGCGGCACCCACTTTGCACAGAGCTTTCTCATACCCAAATATTCGTGAATGATGTGATGTATACGTTCCGTTGATATCTGTAGAGTGTCTGCTATTTCATTCAATTTCAATTTACGGTCATTCAAAATCATTTTGTGGATTTTTTTAATGTTTTCGTCCGTAACAGCCTCTTTTGGGTGTCCACTGCGTTCACCGTCTTCGGTGCTCATTTCACCACGTCTAAACTTAGCATACCAATCCTTGATGGTTGATTTTCCTGGGGCAGTGTCTGGAAATTCGTTATCAAACCAAGTTTTTGCTTCAACTGTATTTTTTCCCTTCAAAAAGCAATATTTTTCAACACGCGAAATTCCTTTTTATCCATTTTTTTCACAATAACAAAAGTTGCTTCACTAAAAATGCTATAATTCACAAACTAATGATCCGACAGCCGTCAAATTTATAGACGCGTCTTTTGAAGGTTAGGACTAACTGAAAATCATATGGATTTAGTTCTGGTGCCGCCATCTATGTGTCAGGCCGGGGACTTTTCAATTGACCCTAGTATACATCGAAGACGCGATCAACATCATTAAAGACAGTACAACTGTAGGGATAGATATACGGGGGCAAAAGATTAGTATGCTTAGATTAGCAGATAACGACTTACAACAAGACATTATTATAAAGTAATAAACAATAAAGTAAAGTTTGTTTCACCATAACATTGGGTTTTCTAGGTGAAGATATTCCAAAGAAGCCAATTAATAGTTGGTTAATACATACATTATGTATTATAATAGAAAAATAATATTGATTTTTCTTCTCTTAGAATTAGCGTTTATACGAATTGTATTTCTACTAGATTTAGTTTCCATGCAAGACAATTGCAAAACAATTCACTTAGTTCCGTTAGCATTCGCGTTTGCAAAACCAATTTAAATTGTAACGAATACAGTTTACATGTTGTTAAATGATGCATTTATGCTGAAATTTCCAGCTGTTAAGTTTGATTTACTTCTGTCGTTTGTTACGTGAGCTCCGGGAATTTTCGTATTAAACTACACCGCATGATTGTTTAGGAACATGATAAATTGATATTGAAACCAACAACTTGTCCGCAGTATTAGCTATAAAACAGGATATCACAATAAATCTCAATTTTAATAGAAGTGCAACAAAGTGCATAAAAAATAAATAAACGTTTTTACAACTCTGTTCATCTTTTTCCATTTCCAGCGGCGCGCGTACAAACAGGGGTTAATAATGCTGTTATAATATTTAAATGCATTATTTATTACCATATTTCTACCGAAATTACGATAATTTTCCTGGTTTCCAGGAACAAATGGTTAACGATTCCTTCCGGGTAAGAAATCACCTTTATAAAATACTACAAATGGCGCAGTAAACGCCATCTGGAGCACGATGCAACATTTTAGGATTACGTATGCTCCAACAAGGTCCACTTGTGTGGATATCTACTTGTTGAAAACGAATCCCGGCGTAGCCAACCTCAACGTGATAGGCACGTTAGCTTAATCGAATAAAATAATTCGAAGTGGTCTGTATTCTGTCGAAACTGCTAGACGCGGATCGCGATTTCGATCTTTTTGTATCTCATCAGCTATTCGTTTTCAGCAAGTACATATCAAGTGGATCTTGTTGGAGCATATATAATCCTAAAATATATCATCGTACTACAGATGGCGTTTACTGCGCTGTTTGTAGTATTTTCTAAAACGCACTGTTAAGACAGCAGGTAAAAGTTGGTCTGTGTTCTATCGGAGCTGCCTGCGCCGCGCTGATGAGATCCAAAAAATCGAAATCGCGATCCGCGTCGGGCAGTTTCGACAGAATACAGACCACTTCGAATTATTTTATTCGAAATCACCTTTGCTTACTGCTTTTATCAGTCATCAAGAAAAAAAGTGCGGCACCCCCTTCTGGGAGTTTACTACCTTCGCGTTCAGTTCGACTGATAATTCACCCCGGGAAGAAATGTCGTACTTTCTTCCCTTAGTATGTGATATTATTCTATCCTACTTAAATAGGATTTACATTAATCGTGTATGTCATTTATATAATAGACCAAAAAACTGTAATATGTAATTGCACACTTTTGATATTTGTTCAATTCTATTTAATGTGAAAAGCATGGGAATACAATTTGGGTAAGAAGGGGAATAAAATTTACGTTATTCTATAACATATTGGTCAACATAGATCAGGAAACTAGGACTCGATTAAAACTGGAATCTGGCTCAAGAATTATCCCAGGACGTTGAAATTTCGAATGATCCGGATTTCAAAATCAAACAAACAGATTTTCATGACAAGACATTTCAAGACATATAAATCAAATTCGAATTCAACCTATCTCGCCTATTTCTTATTGAAAGTCCTTTGTTCTCCTATTCTTTCTGATACCTCTTCATTTCTAACCTTCTCTATCCACGGTATCCTCATCATTCGCCTGTAGCACCACATTTCGAACGCTTTTAACCTTTTCTTTTCCACCCGTACAACGCCTCGCTCCAGAGTCCAGATGTACAACTTCAACAATCTTTTTCGAATATCTAAATTGACCGTTCACGAACATAGAAGTGACTTATTTTTATTGAAAATCAGCCACTTCCTATAATTTTCAGTCCCCTATATTTATATTTGTTCTTTCCCTACTTTTTCTTCCCTTGCATACCAGTAGTTTTGTTTTACTTTTATTTATTTTCATACAATACTGTTTTGTCAACACCCCTTCCACTTCATTTAAAGCTATCTCTAATTGCTCCTTGCTAGATGATACTAGTATTATCATTTAAATACTTATAGGTATATAATACGTTAAGGATTTGAGGAGGGTACACCTCTGTTAAAACATTTCTTAACGCAAAGCTTGAGGTGCACCAGTACATACGTTTTATTATAGCAAGTGAAGTACTAACAAACGCTTATTAGTTACATAATAATTTCTAATAAGTAACTATTATTTTACTAGGTACTTTAACTTCATTAATACGCAAATTTTAATGTCAATTATATCATCATCGTCATGAGGTCGTCAGTACTGGTTGGACACGTACCTCCACTCATCTTCGTACTTCCCTAAAACTAGAAAAAAAAAAAAACTTTTGGGTGTTTCATTCCCACCAGCCAGTAATGCTGGTGGGCGGGCAGTNAAAAGCTGTGATTGTTGTATATAAAGACATTCTATAGTACATTTACTATCAGCATTGCACCCGTGCGAAGCATAGTGTACAAACAATACCATTAAACCAATTCCTTAACCCCTATCCCGGTATGTTTGTGTGTTTGAAGAAGTTTCACTTCAGTAGCGTGTTGTATAATTACACGTTGTATTTTTTTTTTTTCGATTCCTTTCAATGTTGCTTATTCGGATTATCTATTTAACTATTAGAAAAAATGTGTATTTTTTTTCAAGTACCTAAATACGTTCGGCTGTTAATAAAAAAGACAAATACTTCTGACTGACCTAACTTTGTTGAGAGTTTGTAATCGCTTTTCGTAACGATCAATTTCTACTTTTCTGCGTTCGATTTTCGAATCTAGGTTGGCTTCGGTTGTGGAGATGTTATTAATTTGCCGTTGGGTTTCGTCGATTTCTGCTGAAACGGCTTCGATTGCTTTTGTTATGCTGTTTTCCACCTCGCTAGGTTCGTACTGGCGATTCATACTAATTTGACGTGCTATCTGTAAACACTCGAATCTTTCAATTTGTCAGTTATAAAGACTTGCGATTATGGAAACCGTTTTCTGTCGTTGCGAGTATCGCGTTGTCACCCTATCCAGAAGCAAAAGCCCGTTAATAGGGCGGTCGGTGTCAATTTCACTTCTGTTTTCGGAAAATACACAAAGGAAATAACATTCTAAATTTCCCTTCTAAAGTAGATTCATAAAATATAGCGAAATAAAGTAATCTGAACTTACAAATTGGATGACAATATCAATTTGTAATTTAGGATGTAAAAAGGGCAGAAATGTAGGACAAAGAATAACGCAGGACCAGACCGTTTTCAAAAGACTAGTGAAAGTGTATGCTTTGAGCATGGCTCCAGACGGATGCGAAAACAGAAAGAAAGTTTTTGAAATTTTTGAATTGAGGCATGAAGGGGTAATTAAAAACATATTGAATGATGATTTAGAATAGATCACTGTTCGCAAAATAAGAGATGAGGAATTTCTGGTATTCGGGATATGCGAAAATTGACTCAGGATTGGAAGGAGTGGAAACGTATTCAACCTAGAGGCGGTTCAACGAGACAATGGACTGAAGACCTTGTAGTGCTGAAGTTGAAGTTCCCGAATATGACTGAATCATGGATTAGGGAGTAATATGTAGGGATAGAGCTCTTAGAAGTTAATTTACGAATGAAAGATTTTAAGGAGTTTATGAAATTTATAATCAAAAATATCCAGAAGTAACAATAGACATTTCGTATCATTAAGGAATCGTCATGAATACATATTTTTCTGAGAAAAGTGGATCAGCGATTGGGATTTAATAAGGGATTGTATTCTAATATAGAACATTAACTATTTATCCCTGTTATCAAACCGTTTTTATTCTTTGTATTTATAGTGAAATTATGTTTTTATTTAAAGATCTGTTAGTACCCGTACTAGTTGAAATAAATCATATCCTCACCCTTAAATCACTTTCCTTTCCAAGAAGATCGAAAAGATTTGCAGCACTAGCAGTTATTTCACTTGCTAGTTGTCTCGCTTGTTTCACTTCATGAGCCTAAAATGGAATCTCATGTAAAACACTAAACAGCCTAAGTCATACATTGTTCATAAGGGGATCTTTTTTAATACATTTAAGAAAATAGTTTTTCAATTTTTAAGTAAAAAGTCAGTCTTTCTAGAGGTATCTCATGAACCAGACAAGACTTGATATGCAATCATAAAATTTTCGAAACATCATATTAGCATATAACGGAAATATGCAGTTTAACATGTACTTATATCTCCAAAAAATAAACCTTTGCTTGTGTCAAAGTGAATACTGAAAATTTTTATTTTGTTTTTCCTACCGTGAGGCGTACCCAGCCTCTAAACAAGTTTAGGTAATATATCATTTTAGGGGTAAAAAATGAAGGATATTCAATATCAATAAAGAAACTGAACATACTCTGTCGGAAATGTCAAAGTCCTTGAACGATATCGAACTTCGTTCTGTGCCGCCATCCTTCCCGTCTAAAGTGGTTACTTGTAATGCCTCGTACAAAAGGCTCGCCACCTTCAATAATTCTTTGACGGCATAGCCATCAGCTTGGTAAAGTCTCTTCGTGTTTAACTTAATGTTCGCCTTTGTAACCTTCACAACAATGCATCGTTTGTTATGTACAGAATGAAATAAGTGGAATCGATTACTAACTTGACGGAAAAACGAGTAATTAAGTAGGAAGAGTCGAAAAACAAAGTCAGTAGAATAGAAAAAAGACACAAGGACCCTTTAAATGCTAATCGAATGCTAATTAAGTGTTCTAATGAGAAATTAAATGCTTCGGGCATTTTTTTTAAATTACTGTTCTATTAGCTTAAAGTTAATTGAATAGAACATCAGCGAAAAAGTAATTATACAATGAAACTATCCTTCTTGGTCATACAGTAATTAAATCCTCATTAAATGCTTTTAAAATCAGCTGCAAATTAAATGGTACTATTAATTTTACAGTTAATAAACAAGTTCGCGACTTGGACAACACGTTAGCAAAAATGGGAACAAGAATAGACTTAAACACGAAAAACCACTGCATTGGTAATATAGTCATTAAATGCTCATTAAAGACTAATTAAATGCCCTTATGATAAATTAAATGCTTTGGGCATTTTTTGAAAAGCCACGGTTCTGTTAGCTTACGATTAAGTGAACAGAACATGAACGAAAAATTGTTTATTGAATCGAATTAGACTTCTTGGTCAGACAGTGGATTAAATGCATATTAGATCCTTTCAAGGCGTTTAGTTACAAATTAAATGCTCTTATTAATTTTACAGTTAATAAACGAGTTCGCGACTTGGACAACACGTTGGCAAAATGGGAGTAAAAACAGGCTCAAACACGAAAAACCAAAACTTTGGTCATGTACTCATTAAAGGCTCATTAAATACTAATTAAGTGCTCTAATGAAAAATTAAACGTTTTAGGAGTTTTTCTCAAAAGCTACTGTTCTGCTAGCTTATGATTAAGTGAACAGAACATGAGCTTAAAAGTGTTTATAGAATGAAACTAGGTCACATAGTAATTAAATGTTTATTAAATGCTTTGCAAACAGGTCAGGTAAGAATTAAATGCAATTATTATTTTTCAAGTAAAAGAGGTTCAAACACTAATCCACTGCTTTGGTCCTATATTGTTTCAAGGCTCATTAAAAACTAATCATTAAGTGGCCTAATAATAAATTAAACTTCCTAACCGTTTTTTGAAAAATATTATAGTTATGATATCTATCAACGTTTTGTATAAATCGCGAAGTCGTTTATTTATTTCAAAAGCATTTCATTCACTACTGCCCTGTTCCGAAAGCATTTATTGAGCATTTACATACAATTTTCATTTTTTAAACAGTTTTTCGCTCATGTTGTGTCCAAATAATCTTAAGCTGGCACTGGCAGAGCAGTATTTCTCCAACATTTGACTTTCATTCAGTCTAATGTCTCCGACAATGATTTTAAAAGTTTGAATGAGTTAAGCCTCAGTAGGTACTCATCTCTTACCATAAAGTTTGCCACATTTTTTATTAGTGTTACCCTTCCTTCTTCGTTTTCAATATCAAAAGGCAATTCAATTTCCGGATCGAATCTTTTAGCCAACCAAACAGCAAGGTCAGCAACTTGCGGAAAATTGGGATGACGAAAACTCTCCATTGATAAAACGTTGGGATACCCCAAAGCCCTTAGCATCTCGTAAAAGTCTAAAATTATAGTACGTTACGTGTTTTGATTGCTACTGCATCTACCAGTATCTTCATTCGCACACATTTTTAAATGAAATCCGTTAGATACCCCAACAATAAACTATAACTACAAAAAAGTGAACTTACTTCTAATATCTCGATAAGACATTATTTATTTCAATGACTATTTGTGTGTATTATTTGTCGAACTCAGTTGAATTAATAAATTAGTTAATATTGTCATCATTTGTTGTCATTCTTATAGCTTAGCAACCCCTTCTTAATGATAAGGTAAAATGGGTGGAATAAAGTTCATCCAAGTGGACCTCTGCGTATGCAACTTTCATTGCACGCGGCGTTATTGGAAGTATAATTTTAATACAGGACCCATAAGGATACCTTCCAGCTTAGTTTTTAAGGTATTTGGACCCGACACAATATCAAAAGAATGGAACATTGTAATGGAAACAATTAAAAAGTCAACATCCAATTTTTGTTTCAGAACTTAATCTTCATCTTTATTTGAAAAGAAGATCATGAGTTCCATTACCGTTTTAATAATATAAAATCACTAACGTATTTTTAAAATAAAACAGCTCTTATTGTATAAGTTTGAAGGTAAAGGATTGATGAGGATGTCGTTTATGATTTTATAAAGAAATAGTCGGAAAGAACCCACAATTTTTAGTATGCTTCCGTTTGTAATTCTTCAAACACATAAAAATAACAATTGTAACTTGAATGTTGTTTATCCCTATTTATTACCTAAAATTTCTCATAAACTGTCGCCAGATATCCTTGGCTTAAGATGACTCTGCTACCAAATTTTTCAGTTTCATGTTTCAATTGGCTTAACATCCCACGCGTCAAAAATCTTAACTAGAATTGTACAGAGGAGGATGGAAAAAAGGGCGGAAGAACTATTAGCGGAAGATCAATTTGGGTTTAGAAGAAATAGAGGAACCCGGGAGGCCATTCTAGCATTAAGGGTAGCAA